CTCCCTAGTATAGTATAGCGTAGTGCATCGCAAGGAACATACTAAGCAGGGGACCAGACTAGTGGTCAAAACAAGGCGGACAATTCAGCATTAGCATCAACCACTCCAGTTTCGTTTATAGAGTTGAAAAATGCCTATTCAACAGCGATGATGCCACAGATATTGACGAAATTTAATATTGGAACCATGCTGTCTTGTTTTATGGATTTTATAGCTATACGAGAGAGTAGCTATGAGCTGTTTTACATCTGGACATGTAAATGCGAGTATGGAAACGGTGTCAATGTTAAAAATTTAATCCCTTTTTTACCATAACACCGCATTTCATAAATCGAGTTTCGTTTACCAATAAAAGGAATTTTGCGTATTAATCCGCAGTATAACAAACCTGGAATATTTTTCGACGGTAAAGCTGCAGAAGTCCCAGGCATTTAGCGGGCAGGTAGCGGGCATTTCCTAATTTGTTTTAATCTGATACGTCTAAACAACAATGTATGCCATTTTGTTATGTACAGATGCCTACCAGCGTTTGATTGGCTGGAGTATAAAGTGACTCGGGAGGTTGTTCTGATAATTACGGAGCAACTCGGTTAAATCCGGTATGAAATGGGCTATTGCTTGTCACTCTTTCTATTACTTATTTTGAAGACCATACAACATTTCGAAACCGTACAATCTGGGGAATCGCTGTACCACAAAACCTATCTGTATTTTTGTTCAAATATGCTACAAAGGTATTTCTTGCAACCAATTCCGCTACCTATTCACACAGACAGGCACAAAGGTTACAGAAAGTAAAGAAGGTAGATGGAGGGGTGGATAGATAAAAATTTGTATGAATAAATATTTATATATCGATATACATAATAAGAAATATATGTCCATAAGTAAATATAAGACTTCCAATAAAGAAGAAAACGACTCGTTTTAAAAGCAATCTAAATTTATTAGAAAGTTGTTTTTTCAGCAAATTACATTTAATCTAACATAATAAGAATTGAAACCTGCCATTACTATAACCCATACTTCCCATCTCCGATAATATATATTTGTAAGCTCCAGTATTTTCATATACAGTGCCATTCTAAACCAGCACTAATCGAAGCTAGAAAATATGAAAACGTTGATTTGAATTTAACATACTGTGGTATAATTGACCTTTTGTGTACAATCTAATATAAAATTCGCCAGAAATTTGGAACGAGGCTCCTGTAATACCAATTAGATTTTAATTCAAGCATATAGGGAAATGGACTTTAAAACTGGCTCTTGGGATTGGTCTGTTGGAAATTGTATCTTCGAAAGAGCTGGATTTCTTGATCATGAAACGTGTCATTTGCTCATTGTAATCAACATCTGTCGATACGTGAGTAACGTAGTTGATGATGTACAACTCTAATAAATAGAACAGGGATGATACAGGCACATTGCAAATCAGGAGTAAGGTAGGCTAGCACTCTGCTCTGCCGGTACATTATGCATTTGGAGATACTGTCTAAATTGTTTGCAGGTGAGAGCGTGTCCATGTCGCATGTATGTATGTATGTATGTATGTATGTATGTATGTATGTATGTATGTATGTATGTATGTATGTATGTATGTATGTATGTATGTATGTATGTATGTATGTATGTATGTATGTATGTATGCATGCATGCATGCATGCATGCATGCATGCATGTATGTATGTATGTATGTATGTATGTATGTATGTATGTATGTATGTATGTATGTATGTATGTATGTATGTATGTATGCATTCATGCATGCATGCATGCATGCATGCATGTATGTATGTATGTATGTATGTATGTATGTATGTATGTATGTATGTATGTATGTATGTATGTATGTATGTATGTGTGTGTGTGCGTGCGTGCGTGCGTGCGTATGTATGTATGTATGTATGTATGTATGTATGTATGTATGTATGTATGTATGTATGTATGTATGTATGTATGTATGTATGTATGTATGTTTACTCTACAATTATCTTTATTGAAAGCTTCAAAATATGAAAGATTTGACAGGAACATAAATGTGATCACACCTACTACTACAAAACGATCTTTCTTAATGAGAAAAAAAAAACTGTCTAACATCACAACATGTGGCGCTCATTCAGGTTAAGTAATATTATAAATAGCTATAAATAAATATGTGGCTAAGTTCTAAAAAGGTTGATTGATTGCATTTATCCGACTCTTATTATCGTTTGTATACTGATAATTGACACCTTATTATGAGAGAGAGAGAGAGAGAGAGAGAGAGAGAGAGAGAGAGAGAGAGAGAGAGAGAGAGAGAGAGAGAGAGAGAGAGAGAGAGAGAGAGAGAGAGAGAGAGAACTGTGGTGGTTTTTGCAGTGGCTGTTAGTTTTTATCTCATATGTAACCTATTTGAATACTGGCGTTCGTAAATTGTGGTGAGAATTTTGATGTTTAAAAACATTACTTAGTTCTGGATATTTGTCATTCTAAATTGTCCATAAACTTCAACGTCCGTTCTATTATTTGCTGATGATGTTATTTTAACAGTTAAAATGTTGCAATAAATCAAACCTGTTGTTTAGACAAAATAGCAAGACATTATCATCGGCATCTGAATCTGAGTCACTTAATTCAACATGTTGACGTGTCAGTTAAGTTTAGCTGAAACAATATGCCACCGAGAACTTGACAGAGTGCCCTTGACACTTTCCTTTTGAAAACTGCCTGGGAATAACGCTAACAGTTTCAGTTATAAAATGGCACATAAATAAATGGAAGTAAAACAAATATATCAAAGTTTTAAAATACTTGAAGAGAACTGATAGCTGTTTCTTATTTATCAGCTAACATGACCACTAGATGTAGCCAGGGAAAACATATCGTACCAGAGTTGTGTTATCTAGTTTCCTGATAATACTCTGTCATTCACATTAGTTTGTTCTGAATGTCTTCTTCTGAAATGCTAAACCGTTATTTGTCTTCCGGTCTTTGCCCTTACTAGAAAGTGCCCCGGAACGGTAAGAAACACTTCCGACTTGCTGATCAGTGACAGGTTTATGGGTGCTTAAGGAATCTGTTATCAGTAAACAGAGTTATAGTCACTACTGGTCAGCTTCACGAATCTTTCTGCAATGACAGAGTTGAAGCCAGGAACATTCTTTACTTTCAGGAGCAGCATAGTTTTCTAATTGTCAAATATATATATATATATATATATATATATATATATATATATATATATATATATATATATATATATATATATATATATATATATATTAATGTGTGCTCCAAAACATTGTTAAACCTTTTTATATTTGATTTATAATAACTAGAAATATTGAAGTGTGTTTAAACTTCCACTTCCTCTTGCCTTGTTAGAAAAGTAGCTCACAGAATAAATTTCATCCACGGCGTACATGATGAATTTAATTTAACATTTATTGTGTATATACACAAACAACAGAAACGGCAAAAACATAATCAGAAACATTAAAAATGGACGTCAACAATAATTTCAAAAGCTTCAATACATATGCCACGTGACAACTTTTGCTCATGATATCCATGACAACGTTGGACTCAAATGTACTAATAGAATAATACATTCTCTCTCTCTCTCTCTCTCTCTCTCTCTCTCTCTCTCTCTCTCTCTCTCTCTCTCTCTCTCTCTCTCTCTCTCTCTCTCTCTCTCTCTCTCTCTCTCTCTCTCTCTCTCTCTCTCTCTCTGTATTACTACTCAAAAGAAAGGAAAACTGTCTCTGTATTAGTATTCCAAAGAAATACGATCTCCATATTAATATTCCAGTGGAATACGGTCTCAGTATTAGTACTCCAAAGAGGTATAATTTCAATATTAGTATTCCAGTGGAATATGGTCTCAGTATTAGTATTCCAAAGGAATACAGTTCGGTATTAGTATTCCAATGGAATACGGTCTCAATATTAGTTCACTTTCTCTCTCTCTCTCTCTCTCTCTCTCTCTCTCTCTCTCTCTCTCTCTCTCTCTCTCTCTCTCTCACACACACACACACACACACACACACGCACACACACACAAACACACACATACACACGCGTACGCACATGCATACAAACATCATAATCATCATTATCATCATCCTCATCGTCATCATCATCATTAATATCGCGTTCTTACTCAGTGATAAGTAGTGTTCCTAAATATTGTCTGAATCAAGTGAATTTTGTATTCAGTGTTAGGTGTCCTACATATCAAGTGCAACGCAAATATGTTTTTATTAATTCAAGATTTCACTATCAGAAAAACCCACGCTTCATTCAGTAGCCGAAGTTTTTTGTCTTCAACCTCTTTACCTTCCGTCTGTGTTGACAAGACAAAGTCAAATAACATAAAGGCTTTTAAAAGCTTTTTTATTAATTTGAATGAACACTTGTCGTAGTTCTTTTAAGTTTTCTCTGATATTATTTCACTTGAAAGCAATAGCATAATTTTAAATACGAGATTATCTTTTGTGTATGTTTGTACTTCTCTATAATAACCTCTTTGCATACCGATTGTGGTCGTAGGAATCAGGAGTGACAATATTCTTAAATGAAAAGTAATTATCGGTCTGTTATGCGCGTGTATCTGCGTCGCACATATGCCTATATTAGCGACCTGTATCATTCATTTTTGGTGATGTGTGTATAGTTGAGAGGGTATTTGATTGGTGCTTGCATACAAAGCGACTTTTTCCCGGTCCCTTTTTCAAGTCTCCGTATAGTAAGAAATTGAAAATTCCCTACCATGCATGATAATATAATACTAATTCTTTGTATATACTATAATACTCCCGATAGACCAATGGAAATGTTCATGTACTTATAGTGGGAATTGATTTTCGGCTATTACGGTTTAGACATTTGCTTTGTGTGATATACCGGGTATTATTTAACATGTATGAAAAACTGGGTATTATTTACCATGTGTGATATACTGGGTACTATTAAACAATTAAACATATCTGATATACCAGGTGTTATTTGTCATGTGGCCCACTCCGTTGGCCTAATAGTTAGAGCGTCCGCCTCGAGTGCGGGAGGCGCAGGTTCAAAACCCCGGCTGAGTCATGCCAAAGACTTAATAATAATGGAACTCACTGCTAACTTGCTAGACGCTCAGCATAGAGAGGTTAGGATTAGGATTGGTCGACCTGGTGTCACGATAATCTGATTGGGTGGTACATCTATGACATGATGCCCCAGTATTAGCCATCACTATAAACTGCCACGCTGCAGACATCGTAGCAATAGAATTGAAAAATCGCTAAAGCTACATTCAAAATTTATGAGTACAAGACTAGTGAAGTGGGACATTACAGCGTCAAGTCTTAAAAAATGTATATCCACTCTGGCGTCAAGGGGAATTTATCATTGGGAAATTTAACATGGGAGGGACAATAGAGTGCCTAGAGACTGTGACTGTTTAGCGACAAGGGATTGGAGCTTTCTATGCTCAATATAAGCAATTTAGCCTTATTGGAAATCCCAGTCAAATAGGTCGTGGGACACTTTAGCCTCAAGGGGAATTTTGCATGGGTAATATTGGAACTGTTTAGCCTCAAGGGGAAATTTAACATGGGAAATATTGCTGTGGCTGTTTGTCATCAATGGGAATGTAACATTGGAAATATCGGGATACTATAGGAACAGTGAGAATTACCATTACAAAAGCCCTTAGGCCACTATATGAACAAGATTTATACGGACAGTGGGAATTACCTTTACAAAAATCCCTGGACCACTATAGCGTCATGGGGACTTTATTGTTAAGTGTGTGGGTTGTACTCGAACCTCAAATGAAATTTAACATTCGGCAAATTAATATGGAGTGAATTAGGAAATGAATATAGCGACAAGGGATTGGAATACCCCAGCCTCAATGGGACTTCAATGTTCAATATAGGGGGTTGTAACATAGGCTCGGGGAATGTTGGAACTGTTTAGCGTGTCTTTGAAGTCCCCGCCCCCCTTCACCGCCAAACGTTATATCCAGCAATATGTCCCGCCCCGCCAAGAATTGTTTTATTCGTATAGTTTTAAGATTTAACTAGCTAACTTACCCGCCCTCGAAAAGCGGTATAGCTTTTACATATAGTATGCTGGGTAGGGATAATAAGAATGGAACAGATGGGGTGACATCACGGTACTGGATATTGGCAACAGTGTTGCAAGCGGCTGACCTCAATCGGGCAAAACAGTGACAGTGGAAGAAAAAAAAAATCAATAACGCCTGGCGGTGACTGGACATATTAATTTATAGACATAGAATCACCTACCAAAACAATCCATAGCGATGAGTGTGCTAAGCTAAAATAATTTTTTTTTATATATATACAAAACAACACACTCATACCAACAAAATCCACTTTATTTACAATCAATACATTGCTGAGAAAGAAATGTTTTTCTACGAAACACACCATTACCTAACGCACATCAGCAAAAGAGTTAGTGGCAACAGTCACACTACTCCACATTCACACAAAAACAAACTGAAGAGGGACAATGTTTTTTGGTAAAGGAACACACACACACACACAGACACACATACAGTCGCAATGCCCTGACACGTTTTAGTCCCACCTATGTTAATTTACACATGACGCCTGAGTAGATTTAACATTTTTTAACACTAAAGACAATTGACGCTATAGTGTCCCACTTCACTATTTACAAGCTAGACTTTTTTGTATTATTTTATTTTAAGAAAGCTAAGTGAACGCTTTTGATTATTGGGCTACCCGACACAAGGACGTGTTCCTGTATTAAAGCAAAGTCTCAACATAAACAGGATCGCTTGAAACGTTTAATTTCAAAAATTTTATTTGCATCAATCTTATCTGGAGTTATCTCTACCTTAATTATTTTGATGGTCTTATGTTCTGTTCATAACCAATATGGTAATGTGCACCAAGAATCCATTGAGCTACAAATCTCTGAAATTATTACACGTGGTAGACTCCTTGCAAAAAAATGACTGTCATATACGACAGAGAATTCTAGTTTTATTCAAGTTTTATTGTAATCAAATGGTTTCCGGAATAAAGTAAATAGAACCATCAATGAATTTTACTGGCTACAATTTTGAGCCCTTCCCAGAATGAACTTGAAAGAATGTGTGAAATGAGTGTAAAATTACGGCAACATATGAAGCAGGCCTATCCATGACAACGACTGCAAATAACTCTAAACAGGTGTTTACACTTTCTTAAATTAGCCACAACAAAGGGTCGAGGCAAAAGCTGAAAATATCGAGTTGACTGATCAAAATTTATCAAGTGTGTAGACGAATAAAGAGTGCTACCCAGCATTGTATTCAAATGAGGTGCTAAGTCTTCTAGCTGTGTTTATTACATATGTCCAAGTTGTGAAATAACTTACGAGAGGAGGCATACAATTAAGTCATTTACCTGCCGTAATAGATCTATCTATCTATCTATCTATCTATCTATCTATCTATCTATCTATCTATCTATCTATCTATCTATCTATCTATCTATCTATCTTCCTCCTTTCCTCCCTCCCTCCCCCTCTCTCTCTCCATCCATCCATCCATCCATCCATCCATCCATCCATCCATCCATCCATCCATCCATCCATCCATCCATCCATCCATCCATCCATCCATCCATCCATCCATCCATCCATCTATCTATCTATCTATCTATCTATCTATCTATCTATCTATCTATCTATCTATCTATCCATCCATCCATCCATCCATCCATCCATCCATCCATCCATCCACCCACCCACCCACCCACATGTCTGTCTGTCTGTCTGTCTATCTATCTATCTATCTATCTATCTATCTATCTATCTATCTATCTATCTATCTATCTATCTGCCCGCCCGCCCGCCCGCCCGCCCGTCCCTCCATCCATCCATCCATCCATCCATCCATCCATCCATCCATCCATCCATCCATCCATCTATCTATCTATCTATCTATCTATCTATCTATCTATCTATCTATCTATCTATCTATCTATCTATCTATCTCCCTCCATCCTTCCCTCCCTCCCTCTCCCTCTCTATTCATCCATCCATCCATCTATCTATCTATCTATCTATCTATCTATCTATCTATCTATCTATCTATCTATCTATCTATCCATCCATCCATCCATCCATCCATCCATCCATCCACCCACCCACCCACCCACCTGTCTTTCTATCTATCTATCTATCTATCTATCTATCTATCTATCTATCTATCTATCTATCTATCTATCTATCTATCTATCTGCCCGCCCGCCCGCCCGCCCGTCCCTCCATCCATCCATCCATCCATCCATCCATCCATCCATCCATCCATCCATCCATCTATCTATCTATCTATCTATCTATCTATCTATCTATCTATCTATCTATCTATCTATCTATCTATCTATCTACCTACCTACCTACCTGTCTGTCTGTCTGTCTGTCTATCTATCTATTTATCTATCTATCTATCTATCTGCCCGCCCGCCCGTCCGTCCCTCCGTCCGTCCGTCCATCCATCCATCCATCCATCCATCCATCCATCCATCCATCCATCCATCCATCCATTTATCCATCCATCCATCCATCTATCTATCTATCTATCTATCTATCTATCTATCTATCTATCTATCTATCTATCTATCTATCTATCTATCTATCTATCTATCTATCTATCTATTCGGTGCACTCTTTGGGTTCATGGGTTAGGCAGTATGTGATATATCGATTTGACAATTGGAAATGTTTAGTCAAGAAGACATTCAAGATAAACTTTGTTGAAGAAATGAAGCAAATTCTTTAAATAATATGACTGTTGAAAATCCTATTGACATAAATTAGAACATCAGGCAATGAATGCAAATAAGATTTCTGATTTTTATTTATCTAGATTTAGTTTTTGCTCAATAATGCATGATGCAAAACAGTTGGCAATTCGAAACTTAAATAGAAAATGAAAAAGAAATGCTGTAATGATCTGAAAATTTGATTGATTTCATTTGTCTGTCTGAGATGAAGATATTTTTTGTTATGTGCCTTGAAACATTTTGGAACGGAATGATCGACAGACAAATTCAATGAACATCCCCCAAGTACCACTCTCAGGGACAGAAAAAAATATATCACACTCAGTAATATATAGCTTCGTATTTTATGCCTACCTTTCCTTCGGCTATTGTTGGAATTATATAATGTTGGTAGAATTACCCATACATAATTTACAATAATTTGTCACAAAATGTGATAGTACAGTATCAGATATTGCTGGTTTTATTGCATCTTAAAAACGCGAAACTGAAGACTTGGCAAAAATCAGTCACCTTTTTACATGTAACACCTTTGTTGGTATCTATACGTTTTTGAGTTTTCTTTTCATGGATTGATAGAGGTGAAAAAAGAGAAACTTACGCATGTGGAGTTTTGTTTTAATTGTTTTATTTTAATGTTAAAATTACATGTATTATGAAATGTCCGCATTATCATCTCAATTAGATTATTCAAATGATGATACTAGTTTTAGTTCACAATATCTCAAATGTTCAGATTGACCCACACAAATAAAGCAATAAAGAGCAGAGCAAAACTAATACTGGGAAATTTTGAATAACTCGTCTCTACAATGCTAAATTTTAATTAGCATCATAGAGAGAAACAAAAACCCTTTCTTCCGTCAGTGATATTTTTAAATTCTTGTAATCACCAAATAAATCAATATTGAATGTGTTGACGTGCAGTTTGTCTCGAACGTACTTATGTGAAAATGACTTGGAATATGGCGATTTGTTAACAGTCCTTTGGTGAATAACACTAATATAATTCATAATGCCCTTGTTTGAGTTTGCTATATTTCCAACTAATGTTTAACCTAGATTATTATTGAGCACTTTGTAATTCCAGTGAGCAATTTAAGTGAATGGACCGAAATTAAAAACTGAAGACACAAATAAGACTGATTCTGTCTCGGATGTTAAGGCAAGAATGAATAATCGTTAAGTAAAATGGTTTACATACCCATTCACTTGACCTAGGTTTCAGTTACCATTTCTGGAAATACTCTGTCAACTTAACGGGAAATTTCTCAGG